TGAAAGACAGGTCAGAGGGTGAATTGAAAGAATGTGGTGACCAGTTTGATGAGAGTCATGAGAGAGAAGGGGTGTCCTAGGGAAGTTCTGGGCTTTTGGCTTGAGAGGCTGTAGAGGGATGGGGATCTCAGCAGAACTGGCAACCCAAAAAATAAACTGTGTTGGAGTGGAGGGAGGGACTATGCATTCTTCCGTTTATTCATTGAACAGTGGTCTCCCAAGCCTTGTCTAGGCACTGGGCACTCAGCAGTGGATAAGGTGAACTTAGATACAGATAGGATCTGTAGGACATCATTGACTATTTATTCAACAGTGAGCACCCACTCTAGGCCATGCATTGTGTCTAGAACTGAGCATAAATCCAGGCGGTGATGTCCAGCAGCAGCTGGAAAGAGGGTGGAGCTGGCATTTCTGTTGTAAGCATCATCCCCATGGGGATAATTTTGGAAGTTGTGGGAGAGAGCACTTGGAGAAGAAAAGTCTAGTTCCACAAGCCTTGTCCATCATGCCTCAGCTTCATTCGTGGGTTGGGAACACAGTGTTTCTTTGGCTTGTATGGCTGAGAGGCAGACTCAGAAGGAGTGTGAGTGGAAGAGCCCAATCTGGGGCCAGCCTGGGGTCAACAGCAGCTCTACCAGGTAACTGATCCTGTATGACCCTGACTGAGTTGGCTAATCTCTCAGAGCCTCAGTTTTCTCAGTTCCCGAAGAAAAAACAGGAATGCTTATCCCCGTGTTAAGAAAAAATGTTTGTAAAAGTGTATTCATTCAACCACAAACAGGTATTGAACACCAATACGTGCCATGTTCCAGGGTAAAAACCTCAAATGGGAGTACCAGAGCCATCATCTGGGAGGGATACGTGAATCTCTGTGGCCGCCATAGCTGGCTTCTGCTGCCCCTAAAGCTGCCAATCTCCCCCTGCCCACCACCAGTCAATACCAATCTGCCCTTCCCCAGCCCAACTGAAAGGCAATATTTTTGTGATTAGCAAAGAAAGAAAAAAACTCATGTTGTTGCTGTCCTCTGGAGAGCCGGTTTCCAGAGCGGCAGAAAAAGGGCCCACGTGAACCATGCTGTTCTTGGCAGCCGCTGTGCTGTTCCTCACAGCCAGAGGCTTAGAGCTTTATTTGTGGTTTGAGTTACAGGCAGGGGTGAAAACCCCAGGAAAGTGGGGGGAAGGGAGAAAACATTTTAAAAGTTGAGAAAATTGCCCTGTGTTCTCAAGTACAGGCAATTTGTCCAAACACCTGAGCTCTGTAGAATCCTAGTGGTCTGACTGTGGTTTTATGCTCTGGGGCTCTGGGCCCAGTATCAAGGGTGGGGGACATTTTTTCATACATTAAGAAAATCGCAAAATCACTTTTTACAAGATATTAATGAATACCTTTGCTGCTTCAATGGTGACATTGTTGGAGGTTTTGAAAAAAATCCAGGTTAAGGTTTGGGGGTGATTTTTGCTTTGAAGGCTGCTACATAAGGTATTTCACAGTCATTAAACAGCTTTGGATGTTGCCCCCAGGATCCCTTGCAGAGGACACTAAATATTTTAGAGATAGAAGAGCCCTTTAAGATCTTTAAATCCAACCCTCTCCTTACGCCGATGATAAAAACGAGGCCTAGAGGAAGTAAGAAATATGTCCACGGTAACACAGCAAGTCTGGTAGAAGCAAGTCCTGATGCCAGGACACAGAGGTCTTTCTGCAGCCTCTGAGGCAGCCTGGAGGTGACATTGAACCTCAGAAACCATGACTGGCCTCCCCCTCGTGTTGACATTTCTGCGGCAGTGACTTTGAAAGCTGCCTTTTATGGCTCTGGCTTTGGAAGGGCAAACACTGTTATCAGTAAAACAACACAGGTGCCTTCTAGAGTTGGAGCCAGGTGGAGCCAAGCAGGAAGGGAGACCCCTCTGCACAGGCAGACACGACCCAATCACCTGTCTGGGTTCAGAAGGGTGCAAAGACCCTCCTTGGGGAGTGGAACAAGAGGCTTCTGTGGTGATAAAGGGCATGGCTAGGGGGCCAAACAGGATGGCTTCAAGTCCCAGCAACATGCCTGGCTAACTGCAACCTCAACCAGCTCCCCTGACCAAGCGTCAGTTTCCTCAGCTAGAAAACAGGGACACTGATAGCTCAGTCCCGTGACTGAGCGTGCTTTAAGTGCTCAGTAGCCACATGTGGCTAGTGGCTCCTGTATTATACAGCACAGATACAGAATTAACACAGAAAATCCTATCATGCAATGCTGGTAGGGGCTCTCGGCTCTTGACATTAGTTCAGGATCTCACCCACTGCAGCTACTGAAAACAGAAGACTGGTCCAGGTGAGGTCTCCAGCTCTAAGGTCTGGGACTCATGGCAGGGACATCCACAGTTCCTGGCTCCTCTCTGTAGCTTTTAGTTTTCTCTATTACTGCAAGGATTTGGCTTCAAGGTTGGACCCTGACTGGGTGCCTTTCTTCTACTTCCCTGAGCAGAACCCCAGGGTGAGAGGATGTGTGGGGTGAGGGGAAGAGGCTGGACAATGCCTCCTGTAATGGCAGGTGTCCAGAGTCTGAAAGCCTTTGGTTCAATTCCTGGCTCACTCACTCAGGTGTTAATGGCTCCGCGTAAGTCACCGAAACTTTCAGAGCCTTGGCTCTCCCATCTGTGCTCACTCTGGTAAGGGGTAACGATGTAATGGAGGGAGAAACACTTTGGAATCTGTGAAGTACACTGTTCAGAATGAGAAACTTCTACAAGTAGGGGATTGACATTCTCCTTGCTCTGCTCCTTTCTTCACTAAAAGAGTATTTAGATAGAGGCAGATAGTTGCCTTAGAATATATGCAAAAAGATGTTTTATTTAGAAACATTTCCAGACGTCTGGAGATGAGAAGAAGCTGGTATCCCAGAGACACCCTAAAAGAGTCCCCTAAAGGAGAACAGGGAAAGGAAATCACTTTCTGAACACCTGTTATATTCTAGATACTGTGACAGTCCCTTTCATATATGAAGAGTGGTGATGATGATGATGCTGGCTAACAAGAAAGCTGAGTACCCACTGTGTGATAGGTGCCATTTTGAGTGTTTTACATATATTATCCCCATTTTACAGATGAAGAAGCTGAGGCACTGCAAAGTAACACTAAGTTTTCAAGGTCACCCTAAGCTAAGATGTAAATCGCAGCAGCCAGAGTCCCAGGGCCGTGTGGGTAGTCATCACACTGCATTCATAGTCTGCACATTGTGAGAGTCTCACATAACACCACCTGCTACTTTCAGATAAGGAACTGAGCCTCAGGAAGATTAGGTTACTTGCTTAGGGTCACATAGAGGGGAGGGAGGAGGTTCATTGAGTGTTTTGCTTTTTTTACTTCTTTCTTCAAAAATATTTCCTTCTTTGGCCATCTTCTTGACAAAAAAGGCATTGTTGATTCATTTGCGTCTGATTCTTTCTTCCTATTATTTCCTCACTTGAGTTCTGTTTTCCCCTTAGGATCAGACAGAAGAAGTCTACCGCCCTGTTCACAGGGAAATCTCTGAAATACCCAAAGCCTATCCTCCCAACACTTTGCTTCTTTTCTTATTCAGAAAAAGAAATACAAGTTTGGCAAAGATGACAGTGCCGTTCCCTGCAGTGTTCCTGTTCTGCTCTTTTGAATAAGTTCCGGTTTGACTATGACTACGTGAAAATGTGGAACCAGACCTTCACCCCACATTCCATCTCCAGCTCTACCACAGAGGAAGTGCAATATCACCTTAGTTATTCAACACATTATGCTCCTCGTGATACAACCAGAGCTTGTTCACATCAGCAATCTTGGCAGCTCTCACCACGCTGCTGACTCACGACTCTCTCATGTCCCAATTTCCTGTCCATTGTTCTTTCCTCTACTTGGCCTGATTTCTAAAGGCCTCTCTTGGTTGCATTAGGAGGGATTCCTGAGGAATTCCCTCAGCAGTTACCTTGGGGGAGCCCTCAGGTTTGGGGCTGATCCATGTCCTCTAAATGTAGGACTTCAAAGCTCTCAAAGATAGGCAGACCCAGCGGGAAGCTGCGAAATGGTCTCTGACCCCTCTGGGAGAGCTGGCAGTCAGAAGGCCTTTTGGAAAGAGTCAGATCTGATCCATAAGTGCCTGGAAAACACCCTGTCTGGAGAATTAATGCCACTGTGGCCTTGACTGAGGCTTCAGAAGAATTTAGGAGCTGCAATTCATACACACATGCATTCGTTTTCAAGTAGTGGTTTTCAGTTCAGGCTTCAAAGTCACCTTCCAGCTTTGTGACTTTATGAAGTCTCCACATTTTTAAACCTCCATTTTTTTCCTATAAAACTGGGACCTTCATGGTTCTTACTTCATCGTGATATTGAGGGAATGAAAAGAGAAAGCATAAATAAACGGCTTAGCCTCGTGCCTTGGCACATAGAAAGTGCGCGACATTTGGGATTATTTCTTCATGTCTTTGTTCTGGTGAAGCATTTATTCAGCAAGTGTTCACCAAGAGGCCGCTGGGGCAGCTGGGCGCTGCAGCGGAAAGAACACAGATGCTAATAAAAGCCTGAGCACAGGATCAGGCTCTTTGGGTAAAGATGCTCCGGGGGACCAGCTGAACGCTTTACAGGGACCTTGCTCTGGCTCTGCATTTGGACTGCTGAGCTCCCACTCACTTCATCCCCCACCCACAGCACACACCCCAGCTTCTGGGCCATTTTGAGTTTGGAGCGTCTCAGATTACGCTCAGTGTGACCTTGGGCAAATCCCATCACTCATCTCAGCCTCTGGCACATTTTCTATAAAACAAAGATAATAATACCCACCATGCCAAGTTTCTGTAGTAGATTAACCAACAGCAAATGTGAAGTGCCCAGCCAAGCCCAGCATGTGCTTGATGCTCCACAACTTCTAGCTCCATTCTCCCCACCATGCCTTCCATAACCATGTGCCCAGCTTGGGCTAGATGCTGGTGGTCAAAACATTAAAAGAAGCTAGACCTGCCTGCAGGGAATTTAAGCTTTGGTGGAGGAAATAAATAGTCGAACCTCTACCCTAGAGAAAGAGCGCTCAGGGCTGTGATGGAATTATGTTTGAGGGGTTATGGAACACGAGGAAGGGCAAATCACTTTGCCAGGTTGGCCCTCAGTTTCCTCGTGTATCAAATGAATGAAATTGGTTAGCACCCCACGTGAGATGACTTCAGTGGCTTAGTGAAACTACATGTTGGAAAGTTTCGCTCTGTGCTAGTATTTCTATTTATTTATCTGTTTCCCCATTAGAACTTCACCTACTTGAAGGGGATACCCTCTAAGCATATGTCTTGTTCATTCCTCTGTCCCCAGCATACTGGCATAGAACTGGTGCCCAGTCAACATCTGTTGAGTAAGCTGATAGAAGGATTTATTATCTAATTTTATCCTCCCAGAGCCCAGAAAGATACACCATCCTATAGATGGAGGAAAAACTGAATACAGAGTTCAGTGAGTGGCCTGGCAGTCAGTGGCCGAGCCAGGCATCTTGGAACCTGCAGTGATGACCTTTCTGCTAGATTTCACAACACAGGCCAATGTGGCTCGGGTGGGGTGACATTGCTCTCCTGGAGGTGACTCAGCTTTCCCTGGGGGTCACAACCAATCCATCGCCTTTACACTGAGTCATGGGCTGAGGTGAACTTCAGACCTGAGGAGAGAGCAGGGATGCCCTGCGACATGGGTGTGCCCAGGGTTCCCTCAGTCCAGCTAAGCACACCACCTGGGAACTCCCTCATAGGGTGAAGATGGGGCGGGGACAAGGGCGTCACACCAGATCCACACCCATCTCCCACAAGACTGTCTAAAGAGCAAGACCTGTCCTGTCACTGTGATTGGCGGGCTCTGACTCAGAGGCGCCCCTTCTCCATCACCAGTGTCCCAACCTCAGCATTGGCCCCAGTCATCTTTTGTCCTGCCTGGACTCCCAGCCTCCACTCTACCAACCTCCCTTTCAAAGAAGTTACGTGATTTGCTATAACCAGACATTATGAGTGTCATGCGCTTATGTTCAGAAATCCTTGACTGGCTCCCTAGGACCTGGGAAATAAAATCTAAACCCCCAGCTCAGCACTCAAGGTCATCTTGCTGAAGCCTCAACCTACTTTTCCCATTTTTTCCTCTATACACCCTTGAATCCTTCACTTTAGATGGGTCTGTGTGTTGCTATTCTTCAGAGTTGCCGTTTACTTTCCCTTCTCCTTGTCCTTGCTAATATACTAACTCACTTTCATCTGGAATGCCCTTCCCATGTCTTATCCATACTTCAGATCTGAGCTTAAAAGCCACCTCATTCAGGAAGCCTTCCCAGATCTCCTCAGCCCAAACACTAGGACAATACCAGTTATGTTTATTGATAATTTCTGTTGTGCAAATACTGTGCATAGTGTGCAAAATGTTGTGTATACTGTGCAAAGTATGATCAGTGCTTTATATGCTTCATTTAATGTGATACTTCCAACAATCTTACAGGTAAGTGAATATTTGTTACCCCCATTTTATAGATGTGGAAACTGAGACTCAGAAAGGAGAGCTAACTTGTCCACATTTACATACCTCTCAAACGCCAGTCTGCCCGACTCCAGGTTGCTCCATGACTTTGGTTTGTGCTTCGCATGCTCTTTGCACCTCTTTGGGGTACTCACCTTGTTGGGTATTGTATTTTCCTATGAGACTCGTCCACTCAGTTCTACTGTGATCTTCCTAAAGACAGGTGACCAGTGTCTGACATAGACTGGGCCGTGAGGCAGATAGCAAGAGCAAAAGAGCGGGAGTTATGGAGCACCGCCATGTGCTAGTCCACGCTAGTTACCATACACATATGTACATAGCATTTAAGTGTTGTCAGTCTCATTTTATAGACGAGGTAACAGAGGCACAGCAAGGCTAAATAACGTGACAAACTCTATGAGGAAAAAAAAATTGGAGTAGACCTACATGGAATCATCTCAAAAATATACCATTAAGTGAAAAAACAAAAAAATGGATGGAGTGCCTGTTTGCATCATGTGCTCTCACTAGGGAAAATAAAAACATAATAAAACACATGTCTGTGGCCAGGTGTGGTGGCTCAGCCTGTAATCCCAGCACTTTGGGAGGCCGAGGTGAGTGGATCACAAGGTCAGGGTTCAAGACCAGCCTGACCAACATGGCGAAACTCTGTTGGTTTTTGTATTTCTACTAAAAATACAAAAATTAGCCAGGCGTGGTGGTGGCACCTGTAATCCCGGCTACTCAGGAGGCTGAGACAAGGGAGTTGTTGGAACATGGGAGGTGGAGGTTGCAGTGAGCCAAGATCATGCCATTGTACTCCAGCCTGGGTGACAGAGCAAGACTCAGTCTCAAGGAAAAAAAAAAAAAAATATATATATATATATATATATGTATATTTGTTTATGTGTTTGTGCTGAGACTGCTTTAGGGACACACGAGAAACTGCTTTTGGGGAGGTGGCAAAGGAGGAGCTTAGAGAAGTAGAGACTAAAGGATTGAAGGGGACTAATATTTTTAATCAGCTAATAGTTTGTGTTAAATTGGTTTTTTTTAATTATTTGCATGTATTTCTCAAAAATAAAATTTGCTTATTTAAAATATGGATCCATGAAAACTTTTGAAGATCAAACATTCCAAAAAGAATTTAGCCTCTGGCTTTTCTGACTCCAGGAATCTCATTTCTGACATACAGGCATACCTCAGACATATCGTGGGTTCAGTTGTCGAGCACAGCCATAAAGCAAACATCACAATAAGTCACACAAATTTTTTAGCTTCTCAATGCATATGAAAGTTATGTTTATACTATGCTATAGTCTGTTAGGCACGCAATAGCATTATGTCTTTAAAAACACTGTCTATACCTTAATTAAAAACAACTTTATTGCTAAAAAATGGCAACCATCATCTGAGCCTTCAGTGTGTTGTAATCTTGCTGGTGGAGAATGTTGCCTTGATGTTGATGGCTACTGACTAATCATAGCGGTGGTTGTTGAAGATTGGGGTGGCTGCAGCAATTTCTTAAAATAAAGCAACAGTAAAGTTTACTGCATCGACTGATGTTTCCTTTCATTCCATCTTTCGTGACAGATTTCTCTGTAACATGCAATGCTATTCGATAGAATTTTATCCGCAGTAGAACTCTTTCCAAAATTGGAGCTAATCCTCTCAGGTCTTTCTGCTGCTTTATGAACTAAATTTAGGTAATATTCTAAATCCTTTGTTATCATTTCAACAATAGTAACAGCATCTTTACCAGGAGTAGTTTCTATCTCAAGAAAATACTTTCTTTGGTCATCCATAAAAAGCAACTTCTTCATTCAAGTTTCATTATGAGATTGCAGCAATTCAGTCCCCTCTTCAGACTCCACTTCTAATTCTAGTTCTCTTTCTATTTTTGCCACATTGCAGTGATTTCCTCCACTGAAGCTTGGATCTCTCAAAGTCATCCATCAGGGTTAGGTTCTACTTCTACCAAACTCATACTAATGCTGATATTTTGACCTACCATGAATCACAAACGTTCTTAATAGCACCTAGAATGGTGAATCCTTTCCAGGATGTTCCAAAAGTATGTTGCCAAGATCCATCAGAGGAATCACTATCTATGATGGCTATAGCCTTATGAAATGTATTTCTTAAATAATAAGACTTGAAAGTTGAAATTACTCCTTGATCCATGGCCTGCAGAATGGATGTTGTGTTAGTAGGTATGAAAACATCTATCTTCTTGTACATCTCCATTAGAGATCTTGGGTGACCAGGTGCATTGCCAGTGAGCAGTAACACTTTGAAAGGAATCTTTTTCTGAGCAGTAGGTCTCAACATTGGCTTAAAATATTTAGTAAACCATGCGGTAAACAAATGTGCTATCATCCAGCTTCAATGTCTCATTTGTAGAGCACAGGCAGAGTAGATTTAGCCTAATTCTTAAGGGCCCCAGGGTTTTGGGATTGGTAAATGAGCATTGGCTTCAACTTAAAGTCACCAGCTGCATTATTAACAAAAGTCAATCTATCCTTTGAAGATTTGAAGCCAGGCGTTGACTTCTCTTTTGCTATGAAAGTCCTAGATGGCATCTTCTTCCAATAGAAAGCTGTTTCAGTTAGAAAAATCTATTGTTTAGTGTAGTCACCTTCATCAGTGATCTTAGCTAGATCTTCTGGATGACTTGCTGCAGCTTCTACATCAGCACTTGCTGCTTCATCTTCCACTTTTATGAGATTGAGACTTCTTTCCTTAAACCTCATGAACCAACCTCTGCCAGCTTCAGACTTTTCTTCTGCAGCTTCCTCACTCTCAGCCTCCTTAGAATGAAAGAGAGTTAGGGCCTTGCTCTGGATTAGGCTTTATCTTAAGGGACTGTTGTGGCTGGTTTGATCTTCTACCTAGACCACTAAAACTTTCTCCATCTCAGCACTAAAGCTGTTTTAACTTTCTTGTTATTTGTGTGTTCACTGAAATAGTGCTTTCAGTTTTCCCCAGGAACTTTTCTTTCACATTCATATCTTGGGAAACTGTTTGGTGCAAGAGACCTAGATTTCAGCCAATCTCAGCTTTCAAGATGCCTTCCTCATTAAGCTTTATTATCTCTAGCTTTTGATTTAAATTGAGAGATATGACTCTTCCCTTCACTTGAACATTTAGAGGCCATTGTAGAGTTATTAACTGACTTAGTTTCAACACTGTTGTGTGTTAGGGAATAGGGAGACCCGAGGAGAGGGAGAAATATGGGAATAGCCAGTTGGTGAATTATGTTTCCCAGCTTATATGGGAGCAGCTGTGACACCTTAAAACAATGACAATAGTAACATCAAAGATCGCTGATAACAGATCACCATAACAGATATAGTAATACTGAAAACATTTGAAATATTGAGAGAATTACCAAAACATGACATAGAGGCATGCCTGAAGTGAGCACCTGCTGTTGAACAAATGTCACCAAGAGACTACTTGATGCAGGGTTGCCACAAACCTTCAATTTGTTTTAAAAAAAGAAAAAAGAAAAACAATATCTTCAAACCACAATAAAATGAAGCTCCATAAAATTAGGCATGTCTGTAGTTGGAGAAAATTTTCATACATGGTATTGAGAATTATGGTCAGCTGTATATGACAGAAAACTCACAATCACTTAAATGTCAATAAGAATAGCATCACTTAAATGACAATGAGAATAATATCAACCTCACAGGGTTGCTGAGTGGCTTACATAGCATCATGAGACATGAAAAATTAATCTTGATGACATATATAATATATAATCATGATGTTTTATCCTCTCACATAATAACAGAAGTCAAGAGGGAAATAATCATAAACTGAAATAGCCCTCTCTAGCGGCAGAGGCCCAGATTCCTTCTAACTTGTTGCTCTGCCATTCTCAACATCCTAACTGGTGCAAGATGGCTGCTCCATTCAGCAAGAAAGATGAAGAGCAGGACAAGGGGGTAGCCCTTGCATTTAAGAACACTTCTCAGAAGTTGCAAACCCTACTTCTGCTTACATCTCATGAACCAGCACTTAGTTACCTGGAAATACCTAGCTATAATGGAGCCCCAACGTTGCAAGATTTCATTTTCAGCATCCACATGCCCAGCTGAAAATCAGGGGTTCTGGATGGATATAGTGGCTCATGCCTGCAATCACAACACTTTGGGAGGCCAAGGCAGGAGGAGTACTTGAGGCCAGGAGTTTGAGGCTACAGTGAGCCATGATCATGCCACTGCATTCCAGCCTGGGAAACAGAGTGAGACCCTGTCTTTAAAATAAAATTTAAAAAAATTAAAAAATAAATCAGGGGTTGTATTGTTAAGGAGGGAGGAGAGAACAGCTATTTGGGAACAACGAGCCTGTCTCTACCACAGACATGAATGCTTTGCTTTCAGAATTTATCTGCCCTGCTCTCTAAAACTGATGTATGACTGGATATGTTTTATGTTTCTGACATACTTCTGGGTTCTCTACAGAGAATATTAATACACATTGAGAGAAGACAACTAACTTCTCATTAAAGGCCCAATTCCTAAACCAAATTATCAGTGGGCTTTCCCTGAAGGAAGGTCATCTTTTGATTGGACATCTTATGATTTTGGATGTCTGAATTACCCTTCCTAAGTCATGTGACCTTGGGTAAGTCATTTACCACTCTAAGCCCATTGTGTATCACTTAAATGTCAATAAGAACAATATCTACCTTACAGAGTTGCTGGATGGCTTACACAGCAGCATGAGACACATGAAAAATTAATTTCGATAATATATGTTATTTAAACCAAAACATTCTAAATCTTATCATTTCAATATATAACCAATTTAAATTACTGAGATAAATACATTCTATTTTTCATACTAAGACTTTGAAATTCAGTGTGTGTTTTATCCTGACAACATTTCATGTGTTCTCTACCCATATGTGGCTGCCAAGTTGGACAAAGCAGGTTAAGACTAATTTAAGTGTCCTTGCTGGGTGCCCCTTAGCGCCCTATACTTACAAGTAAAGAAGTCATCCTTTCTGTGGCAAGTGCCCGTTTACTTGGTTTATCCACAAGTAAATCCCTTGAGGAGATGGAATGAGCAGTATCCCCAGGGCCTACGTAGTACCTAGCAGAGAGCAGACACTTAATAAATACTTGTTAAACAAATATTATTCATTTCTCTATCCCCAATGACCAACTCAGTGCTTGACCCTCAGTAGGCATTTAATAAAGACTTACTAAATTAATGAAGTCATGACCCAACATTTTAATGGTAAATGAATTTGCAATTTGACAGCAGGTGAAAACCTGGCAGTTTATTGCAGAGGAGACAATGGTACCTTTCTAACCCTCAAAGTAACACCTGCTGTTATGTCAAATTTCATTCACTGCCTCCTTTCTCCCAAACAGAACTGGAGCCAGATGGGAAACCATGGACCTTCCCATTCTGGCAAAATCGCCCAATGCCTGGTCTGCAATGATAAGCAAGCATATCAAGTTCCCACAAACAAATAAAATTATCTTTCAGCTAAGGCCAAATTTCTCCATTTCACTGTATCTCTTTTTCTTGTAAGAGTGTGCAAGGTGAGAGGCTCTGAAAGTTTGCCAGTCACTGATTGAAATCTAGGGAGCTTTACAATAATGCCAGTAGTAATTATAACAATCAGACGCTTCAACCTCAGCACCGCACCACCGTTTACTAGTTAAATAAATTGAAGAAACTTATGTGTCTCCCATGAACATTCATTTTCTCATCTGTAAGATGGCCAGACTTATCTGGTCATGCTGCTGTGAGGACCCTATGAGAACAGAGCTCCCCACACATGCTCGTGCTCAGTGAGTGGCAACTTGCATCATTCCCAAAGCAACCTGGCATGGCTCTCTGAATGATATTTGCAAAGTAAGACTTGGCATTATTTTTGTCTTGACAATCAGCCATAGGCTGGATGATTTTCTTAAAGTTCTGTCGAGCTGCCCCCGCCCCCTTTGTGGACAACTAAAACACAAACACTATTTAGAAAGATCTGGGCCGAGTCATTTCTTTGGAGCCTGGTGGCAGGCCAGGAGGCTGATCACAAAGGCGGCATTCAGCTGCCACAACAGCAGCCTGGTGGGCAGGGGCCTTGTCCCAAACATTCTTGACTAGGCTTCTGGGGGGAAGGTGTTACCAGCCTGCAAATATTTGTTGCTCTATTTCCATAGTAACCACAGAGGCCATTCTGAAACCCTGAAACTGCACATCAAAACTTGGGAGGTGCTGCAAAGCCAAGCCTGTTTGGAAGGAGGCTTTCTCCTGGACTCTTCCCTCCCCTAAAACTGAAGACTTCCAGGATTCTTTCAAAGGGCATTAAAGAGAAGCTATTGTGCCGGCTGCACACAGCCTACTGCCTGCTCTGAGGAAGATGTATGGGCAAAGACTGTTGCCAATTGCCCGTGATAGGCTTTAAGAGACTTTAAGCCAAAATAATGTCCGGCTGTTTTCCACAGAGCTTTTGCAGCATGGAGTGCTGAATCTGGCTCTGGCACAGAACAGTAACATCACCTACTACCTGGGCAACCTCAGGGAAGTTGCTCACTGTCCCTGAGTCTTTTCCTCAGCAAAAAATGCAATTAAGCCCAATTTAGTAAACTCACATTGATATCTACTCTGAGCCAGATGCTGAGATTACAAAGCTGAAAACACAAGGCTATTCCCCTCAGGAAACTCAGATAGCCTATCAGGCAGAACTGTATTAAATATTAAGTTGGATCATACCAGGAATCCACTGCCTGGCAACCAGTGGGACCTGTTATACTATAAAAATTTATTTCCCTTCTTCTTCAAACCTAGCTACTCCAAAGAGAGTCCTGAAAGATGATCAAGGGCCCATGTATTTTTTTATAACATTCTTCTTGTACCCAAGATAAATTTACCAGTTTTGGACATGATCTTTTACTGGTTGCATACATTATATCTTCATTATAACATGCTTTCATGATCTATACCTCACTGGACTTTCTTAACCATCTGCTGAATTTGGAAGGACAAGAATGGTTTTTTTCACTTCAGATTGAAGATACCGAGGCACAAAGGTGAAGGGATTTGTCCAGGTCACAGTGGGAGTTAGAGGCAGAGCTGGGATTTGAACACACATTTTCCAACTTATTCTTTCAATAAATATTTCTTGAGTAGCTGCTAGGTGCCAGCATTGTTCTAGACACTGGGGTCAAAGGCAGTGGATAAAACAAATTCGCATCAGAGACCTCAAGCTCTAGGGGAAAAAAAGCAGACTGCTAACAAACACATAAATGCAGACTACATTAAGAAGTGATAAGCACAGTGGAGAAAAAAATCAGCAGAGTAAAGATGATAGTGTCACTGGATAGTATTGATCGTTTATGTAGATTGCCTGGGAAGTACTTTCTGAGGAGGCAGGGCAGAAGTGAAGAGCTGGCCTGTGGACATCATGGTGGAAAAGTGTCCAGGTAAGAGGAAGAGCAAGGCGTGAGGCCCTGAGCTGGGAACATGTTGGCACATTGTAGAGCAGCAGAGGGATAGGGAGGTTGGCAGGAGAGGAAGCCAAGGAGAAGTGAGCGGTCCAATTCATGGGGACCTTGTAGGAAGTGGAATTAATGTTGGGTTTTGCCCCAGGTGAGATGGGAGGCATTGGAGGGCTTTGGGCAAAGCAGTGCTCACAATGTGATTTAGCATGTTAAAAGATCCCTTCCACTCCCACATGAACAACAGTGTGAAGGGCAGCAAGGATGGAAACAGGGAGACCAATTGTTAAGAGGCTACTACAACCAACCAGGCCAGAAAGGAGCATGGCTCCCTGAGGAGACATGTAGCCTGAGGTGATGAGAAGTGTCAGATTTGGGATCTATTTTTCAGCAGAAGGCTGCAGGATCTGCCAATGGTTTGAAGGTGGGGTGTGGGCAGGAAAAGTCCCTTATGACTCCAGGGCTAAGTAACTGGAAGAATAAAGTTGCTATATTCAGAGATGAAAAAATATGGGCGAGGAGCAGGTTAATGGTTAATGAGAATCAGGATGTTTCTTTTCTTTTTGTTGAGATGGAGTCTCACTCTGTCACCCAGGCTGGAGTGCAGTGGCATGATCTGGGCCATTGCAACCTCCGCCTCCTGGGTTCAAATGATTCTCCTGCCTCAGCCTGCCAAATAGCTGGGATTACAGGTGCCCACCACCATGTCCAGCTAGTTTTTTGTTTGTTTGTTTGTTTGTTTTGTATTTTTAGTAGAGACAGGGTTTTGCTATGTTGGCCAGGCTGTTCTTGAACTCCTGATCTCAGGTGATCCTCCTGCCTCAGCCTCCCAAAGTGCTGAGATTACAGGCATGAGCCATTGTGCCCGGCCAGGGTGTTTCTTTTAAATAAATTACATTTAAGGTGCATATTGGAGATCCCATGGAGAGGGCAGGGAAGGTGGAAAAAGGCAAGCTGGAGAGATTCTTTTGCCATTCTTCAGAACACATGTTATTTAAAGCCATAGGCCTTAGTCAAAATCCCTAAGGGATTAAATGGAGGTAGAGAAGATAGAGAAGAGGACCAGTCCTTGGAGCACTCCAGGGCATGGAGTTAGTAAGAGGAGGAGGACCTGACAAGAAAGCTGTGAAGGAGGGGCTTGTCAAGGCAGGAAGAAAACCCAGAGACTCCCATCCTGGAAGACAAAGGAAGTGTTTTAAGAAAAGAGTGCCCCAGAGGGTCCAATCAGTCCTTGGTTAGGGTGGCAAGTGGGTTCCAGATTTGGTAAAGAATAATCCTTAGTGACCTTGACAAGATCTGTTTGGGTGAAGTGAAAATAAAAGCCTGATCGAATAGGTTCAAGAGAATAGGAGGAGAGAAAGCAGAGACTGCAAGCAGGTTCAACTCTTCGGGGAGTTTGTCTGGAAAGAGGAACAGAGAAACGAGGAGGGGATGGGGATCAATGGAGAGTTTCTTTTTAACATGTGGCTGGGTTCATAGCATGTTTATGCATTGATGGGTATGGTCTACAAGAGAGGGAGAAATTAGCAAGGCAGAGGGGCCCTGGCATAGGGTCAATGCCTGGGAGTCGATAAGAAGAATGGGATCAATTTCAATCCCTAGAATGTCTTCTACTAAAATGACATGGCCCCTAATTCATAAAAGCATACATCTGGGGATAATTTTAAACTGTTTTCAAATGCAAACATTTCTTTTAATTACATAGCCTAAGTTTACCAGGAGGTGTCAAAAATATCACCCAGTGGATCATGGAGAACCTACGTAGTGGACACAGTGAGTTAGCCACTCCTCCTGCTGGGTTCCCTCAGCATTGTTACACACCTAATTGCAGGTTATTTATGTGGCAGGTTCCCAGGTAGACATGAACACCCCACAGGGAGGGACTGTGTTCTGTCCTTGTCTGCAGCCCATGACTAGCAAATGTCTAGCAAATGCATCTTCACAAACCATTTGGGAAAGGAAGGAGAAGAAGGAATAAAAAGAAAGAAAGCGGGAATTGGATCATCTAGCCCTATTGAACGTTTCTCCTTTCAAACGAGGCATGAGCCTGATATTATTTTGGAAACGTACTTTCCCAACAGTAGAGTGAGGAAACAATTTATTTTCTTTTAAATTTGTGAATGACAAAGAAGAGAAGGAAAGGAATGAACATTTATTTTGTGCCCACAGTGTACTAGGTACTCTGCTAACCAGTCACTTGAGTGATCTCTTTTACAGATAACCAACATGATTAGGGAAAATACTCCATTTGCACACTAAGTCACCAGCACTACCATTAAGGTTAAATTGTCATGTGACGAAATAGGATGCCTCATGTAGCAGTGAGCTTCCCATCAATGGAGTTACATAAGCAAAAGCTGGATAATGTCTGTGGGATCTCCCAGCATATAATGGTCATTGGGCTTTATTATCTTAGGGACCAATCCAATCCTGGGATTCAACAAGTCCAGGTTATATAATTCTATAGGTGTCTAATTGATACTTCAGGGTGTCTTGTCATCTAAATATGAGCACATGCAAGTGTCATGTCAGGAGGCAATGCTAGCATAGTACTTTAACATACAGATGCCGAGATCAGACTGCTGAAGACAATATTTGGCTCTGCTGCTCATGAACCAGACTATGTGCCTCAGTTCCCTCATCTGT